ATGGAATCACGAAGTCAGCGAAATCGAGAAAACCATTCCTCGGTAACAACAGACGTGAAACCGTGCCGCCGTCTCTACAAAAAAAATACAAAAAAAAAAAAAAAAAAAAAAAATAAATTAGCCGGTTGTCGGTGCACGGGCCCTGTAGTCCCAGGCTACTCAGCGAGGCTGGGCACGGGAGAATGGCATGAACTCAACGCATCACAGGAGGGAGCTTGCCAGTCGAGCCGAGATCGGCACCACTGCACCGCCAGGCCTGGATGACCATGCGAGACTCCAACTCCAAAAAAAAAAAAAAATATTATATAAATAATAATACTACAAATGTAGAAAATGTATACATACACTGATGAAATAATTAACCATGAAAATATCTAGTAGCGCCTGCATGAAAGGAGATTATAGACTCCTACTACCTGACAATGAAGCAGCTCAGACCAAGCTGTCGCAGTTTTGTTCTGTAGAAGCTGCGAACAAGTAAAGAAAAAAATTCAATGTCCAAGAACTCGACTAATGTGACCGTTTAAATAAAGGAAGGAAGGAAGGAAGGAAGGAAGGAAGGAAGGGAGGAAGGGAGGGAGGGAGGGAGGGAGGGAGGAAGGAAGGGAGGGAGGGAAGGAAGGAAGGAAACAAATAAACCTGTCTGAGGACTTAAGTATGATGTCACTCCTGTACTCACAGCATTCTAGGACTCTAGCATGGGGCCATATCAAGCTTTTTTCCTGCCTACCCTATGCTTTCTGCAAAGTGGATTGTTCATTAGTCTTCACACATGCCCACAAGCATGAGGTAACACAGGCTAGTGGTAAAGTGTAGAGATTCTCCAGTCAGTTCTGGGTTTGAATTCTAGTCCTACTTAATGTTAATGATAACAATAAAATAAATTATTTTATCATGTGAGGCAATGTAGTCAAGTTGTTAAGAACATCATACACTTTGGAGTCAGCCTGGATTCAAATATCAGCTCCACCACTTATTAACTTTTTGTTTGTTTTTGAGAAGGAGTTTCACTCTTGTTGCCCAGGCTGGGGTGCAGTGGCACAATCTTGGCTCCCTGCAACCTCTGTCTCCTGGGTTCAAGCGATTCTCCTGCTTCAGCCTCCTGAGTAGCTAGGAGCTGCCATCACACCTGGCTAATTTTTTGTATTTTCAGTAGAGACAGCGTTTCACCATGTTGGCCAGGCTGCTCTACAACTCCTGACCTCAAGTGATCCACTTGTCTTGGCCTCACAAAGTGCTGGGATTACATGCATGAGCCACACGCCTGGTCTAACTCTGGGACTCTCACCAAATTCCTTAACCTCTCTGAACTTCAATATTCTTATCTGTAAAATAGTAATGAAAACTGATTCCAGGCTGGGCGTGGTGGCTCATACCCGTAAAACAATTCAACCAGCTCTCATCTTCAAAGCAACATAGCATGGATGAAAAAATGGAGGACCTGGAGTCAGACTGAATTTAAATCTAGACTCTGCGACTTACTATCTTATTACCTCTGGCAAGTTACTAATCCTTTCTGTGTCTCTATTTCCTCATCTGAAAAATGAAGATCATAAGAGTAATGATTTCACAGGATTGTTCTGAGGACTGAATAAGCATACATAAAACACTTTGGCACAACGCCTGCCTGGCAGTAGTAAGTGCTTCATACATGTTAGTTTTTACCATTTTTATCTCAAGTGCCATAACAAACATGAAATCCTTAATGATCATCAGTCAGACAGAATCTTTCCTTCCTTGTGTGGGGGCCCAATGCATTTCATTAACACCTCTTCTATGAAAAATTATGTCTCATGTAATATTCATTCATTCATTCATCCATCAATCCATTAAATATCCACCCAGGCACTAGAGACAAAGTGATGAACCAATCATAGCCTCTGACCACAAAGAAGGTCAATTCTAGCACAGTAGATTTGCTAGATGAGAGGTAGGCAAACTATACAGCCTGTGGATCTGGCTGCCTGTTTTGTAAAGTTCTGTTGGAACACAGCAATATCCATTTCCTTATATATTACCTATGGCTGCTTTTGAGGGACAACAGCAGAGTTAAATAGCTGCAACAGAGACTCTATAGCCCATAGGCCTAGAGTATTTATAATCTAGCCCTTTAAGAATAAACATTAAGGAGTAGAATATAATCTTTAGGAGAGTGACTATGTCTTTCCTACCTAGACTTTGTTACAATGATGAGCACAGAGGTTCAATATTTCCAAAATAAAATTAGCAATCTACATGAGATATATGTAGTTATATTTTCCATCCAAATTGCTTATTTCAAATAAAAAAATCACAGTAAAATTGCTGCTTGAAGGCCAGGCGTGGGGGCTTATGCCTGTAATCCCAGCACTTTGGGAGGCTGAGGTGGATGGATTAGCTGAGGTCAGGAGTTCAAGACCAGCCTGGCCAACAAGGTGAAACCCCATCTCTACCAAAAATACAAAATTATCTGGGTATGATGGCACATGCCTGTAATCTCAGCTATTTGGGAGGCTAAAGCAGGAGAATCGCTTGAACCCAGATGGCAGAGGTTGCAGTGAGCTGAGATTGCACCATTGCACTCCAGCCTGGGCAACAAGAGTGAAACTCTGTCTCAAAAAAAATGAAATTGCTGCTGGAGAAACATACTTTTCATTAAATAATGAGGTATAAATTTCCTTTTCAAAATGCCATCATGAAAAAATTATATTTTAAGACCAGGCATGGAGGCTTATACCTGTAATCCCAGCACTTTGGGAGACCGAAGTGGGTGGATCACTTGAGGTCAGGAGTTTGAGACCTGCCTGGCCAACATGGTGAAATCTTGACTGTGCCAAAAAATACAAACATTGGCCCAGCGTGGTGGCACATGCCTGTAGTCCCAGCTACTCAGTTAGCTGAGGTAGGAGAATCACTTAAAACCAGGAGGAGGAGGTTGCAGTGAGCTCAGATTGCACCACTGCACTCCAGCCTGGGTGACAGAGTGAGACCCTGTCTCAAAAAAAAGAAAAATAAAAATTATGTTTTAAAATAGTAAAATAAAAAAACACTTTTTAAGCTCCAAAATAACATCTTAGAAAATAAAGGTCCCCTTAATATTTAATGGAATCTACTTATATGGCCTCCCTTAACTGCTCCTTAAAAAGTTTCTTCCATAATTCAATACCAAATAATGATAAGAATAAGAGATATGTTACCAAAAAGAAAAAAAAGAAAAAAAAGAAAAAACACTGGACCTAGAATTAGAAGACCTACGTCTTTTTTTTTTTTGAGACAGAATCTTGCCCTGTCACCCAGGCTGGAGTGCAATGGCGTGATTTTGGCTCACTGCAACCTCCACCTCCCGGGTTCAAGTGATGCTCCTGCCTCAGTCTCCCGAGTAGCTGGGATTACAGGCATGCACCACCACACCCGGCAATTTTTTGTATCTTTAGTAGAGACAGGGTTTCACCAGGCTGGTCTCGAACTCCTGACCTGGGGATACTCCCGCCTTGGCCTCCCAAAGTGTTGGGATTATAGGCGTGAGCCACTGCACCCAGCCAGACCTGCATCTTTCTAACCTTGCAGTTATTAGTCACAAAGCCATAGTCAAGACAATCTCTATATATGTCTTAGTTTTTTTATCTTTTGAATGGGGATAATAATGCTCATAGCTTACAATATTATGTGGATATCTTGAAAACTATAACCAATATAAATTCCTAAGCAAAGGACAATGGGTCAATTTGCTATCATGAATGTCAAAGCACTAAATTAAAGAAAGTAGATTTAGCATTCTACAAAATAACCCTCAATTCTATCTACTCAATTAATCTTACAAAAGAGATATCCTAAAGGGTAAGAAATGATCCAAGACAGATTTCTAACATTCTGGTTTGCCCCACATTAAGTTCTAGAACTATCACTTGCCTGTTAAATGGAACATCTTGAAGGATCCGGTCACTGCAAAGTGAAAGGAGGCAATTCTTCTGTAACTAAAAAATCAAAGGAAGAAAAAAAAATCCTAAATAAAATATCACTTTGTTATCTTTGAACCAAGGTAGCTTTTATATATATATATATATATAAAGAAGACTGATGAAACACCAGTTATTTCTTACAACCTTTATCTGCCCCCCTAGTATTGAAAGGCTGACTTCCAGGAGACCCATACAAATTTACTTGTACCTTTTTTTTTTCCTTTTCCATTAGATGAGAAATAGGGCAATAAATAGGATAACTACAGCTAATCTCCTTGTTTCTGGTGGCCTATGAAGTAACCTTGTCTTCTGTATTTTTTGAGGTACAGAGAATGACAAAAACAGTGGCTGAAAGTTTTACCTGTTGACATAGAATCAAAGAATATAGACGAGCCTGCTTGGAAGACTCTAACATAGAGTACACGGGGGGTAGTGCTCTACACATTGGCTTCTAAAGAGTGACTGATAGACTTGGCTCTATCTTTTAAACAAAGTTTAGACCAGCACAATTAAACAAGAGTAAATGAAAATATGAATAATTACTTGACACAGTCAAGGTGCACCATCATAATAGAAAGGTGATTCAAGTTATTCCTGTGAAGCAAAATAAGAAAATAAGTGTGGGCTTAAAAAAAAAAAAAGTCATAGTATATATATACTACCAATTTTTTTTTTATTTGGACACATGGCTTTGATATTTTTTAAAGGCTTTAGTGTACAACTGGAAGATTTCTTACCTAAAGAAGACTTAATGTAGGGAATTCAATCATAGAAGGCAAAAGTCAGATTAATGGGATATATACAGCTAGTCAAGAAATAGAAAAACATATAAAATGAACACCCTATTTGCTTCATGGAAGATGTAGAAAGATTACATAATAGAAGAAATGGCAGAGAAAAGGCAAAGTGGTAGTAAATCCCAGGTGAATGATACGGAATGGGTTAGGTACAAGTGTAATTAATTAAGAGGTTTCTCAGGAAGTTTTATATTCATCTCAGATGGTCAAGGTGCTAGGACAGACTCTGCTTGAGGATCCATTTACCTCCCCTAAAATATGAATCATAATCTGGCAGATTGATTAGTGGCATAACTTTCCTCCTTCACCATTTTTCTCCTCCCAAATAAAACACAATAATTTGTACAGGATCCACAGAAGTAAGAAAGGCAATAATGCTATTCTAATTACCTCCCCTTAGAAAGCCCATCCGTCCTGTTCTTTTAGCTGGAAAACGCTTAATTTTCCTTCACAATTCAACTCAGGGCAGAGATATTACCTCATTGAGGAAGACTTCTTAATTTTTTTGCTTGTTTGTTTTTGAGACAGGGTCTCGCTCTGTCACCCAGGCTGGAATGCAGCGGCACAATCATAGCTCACTGCAGGTTCAAACTCCTGGCGCTCAAGTGATCCTCTTGCTTCAGCCTCCCAGAGTGCTGGGATTAAAGGCAAGCCACAGTGTACAGCCTCTAATTTTCAAATTGTCCTAAGTGCCCCTCCTGGGCTCCCAACAGCACTTGTTTCTCTCAGTACTTGCTACACTATGCTACATTATGTGTTCCTATATCTGAATGCTTAGAACTCAGCACAGGTGCACACAGTCTGAATTCAACAAAGCGCTAAGCTTAACTGAACTAATGGCTAAATTAATAACAGAAGATAAATTTCACCGACTGCACTTGAAAAGCACCACAGGCAGAAATGGAAAAGAGGAAGACTTCTGCTGTAGTCTTCAATTTCCGCCCAGCTAGAGTTTTGATTTTGGGGGCTACAGTCTGAACTATGCAAGTATTCAGGAATTTTCTTTAAATTTTTTTTTTGGTTTGTTTTTAAGGAATTCAATGTGGAATCAAAATTTCCTGTGCTGGCATTCATCAAATCTGGCCCTAATCTGGTCATCACTGGCCTCATCCTACACTGCCCTTCCTACACTCCAGTCACACGCAACTTGCCCTTCCTGGAATGCCTGCACATCCACATATAGGTCCACTGTTTTTCTGCTTTTCTCCATGGGAAATCTTTTTCATTTTTCAAGATGTGAGTCAATGTTACTTCCCCTTTGATATCCTGCCTGGTACCTTGTCCATACACCAATCCAGGTGGCAGAATTAATCATTCTCAAGTTTCTGTAGCGCTTAGTTAAAACAGCTGAAGACAATTTACATAATAGTTTACCGTATTTGCATTTCCAACTAATAGGTGAGTTCCCAGGGTTTTTTTTTTTTTTTTTAATTGAATTGTTTTTAAATGTTTTTACTAAATAAGAAATACAAAAAAAAATTTACAAAATATATGTAGGCATAAGGCAGTGCTTCTCAAACTTTAATGTGTACACAAATCACTTGGAGATCTTTATAAAATGATTCTGTAAGTCTGGGCTCTCGAGATTCTGCCTTACTAATAAGCTTGTAGGGGATGCCAACACAGCTGGTTAGCAGAACACACTTTGAGTAGCAAGAGTGTAAGGAATAACAATACAGTGAATACTACCACTGTGTAGGTGTACCTACCACTCAGTTTCAGAAAAAGAATCTATTACCAATAGTACTATTAGCAAGCCCCATTTGGCCCCCTCTTTTCCCTCTCATTTCCCCTCAGAGGAACTACTAGTCTGAATTTTGTGTTTAACAGTCCCTTGCTTTTTATCAAAACATGTATTTATATTCCTAAATAATGTGCCATATAGTTTTGCAAGTTTCTGAACTGCAAGTAAATTGAATCACATGTATGTACTCTTCTGCATTTTTAATACCCAACTTGTAATTGAGATTGATCAAGGTTGTCATCTGGAATTGTAATTCATTCATCATTCACTGCTTTTAAGTATTCTGATGTGTGACTAAACACAGGCTGATGGACATTTGGTGTTTGGTGTTTCCAATTTGTTATCATTATACACAGTTACACAGTGCTACTGTGAACTTTTTTTTTTTTTTGAGATGGAGTTTCACTCTTGTTACCCAAGCTGGAGTTCAATGGTGCAATCTTGGCTCACTGCAACTTCCTCCTCCCAGGTTCAAGCAATTCTCCTGCCTCAGTCTCCAGAGTAGCTGGGATTATAGGCGTGTGCCACCACGCCCGGATAATTTTGTATTTTTAGTAGAGGTTTCTCCATGTTGGTCAGGCAGGTCTCGAACTCCTGACCTCATGTGATCTGCCCGCCTTGGCCTCCCAAAGTGCTGGGATTACAGGCGTGAGCCACCACGCCCGGCTCAAACATTCTTTTTTGTTTGTTTGCTTGTTTTGAGACAAGGTCTTGCTCTGTTGCACAGACTGGAGTGCAGTGGCTGAATCACAGCTCACTGCAGCCTTGAGTGCTTGGCTCAAAAAATTCCTCCACATATGGATTTAAATGCTTTTAGGCATGTACTCTTTAGGCTCCTGAGTAGTTGGGACCACAGATGTGTGCCACCATGCCGGGCTAATTTTTTTATTATTTGTAGAGACAGGGCCTCACTATGTTGCCCAGGTTGGACTTGAACTCCTGGGCTCAAGTGATCCTCCTACTTCGGCCTCCCAAAGTGCTGGGATTACAGGCGTGAGCCACCATGCCTGGCCTACTGTGAACATTGTTTTTAAAAATATATAACAGCTTTATTGAGATACAGTTCATGTACCATACAATTCACCTATTTAAAGTGTACAATTTGATGGATTCTAGTATAGTCACAGAGTTGTGCGACCATAACAATTTCATCATCCCAAACATTTTCATCACCCTAGAAGGAAACTCAATACCCAATACAGTGACTTCCCATTTCCCCCACCCCATTTCCTAACCTTATTTATTTTATATGCATCCTTTCTCATTTTTCCCTGATCAACTTTGCCAATGAGTTTTCAATATTATTAAATATGTTCGAAGAATCAATTCTTGGAATTATTGATCCTCTCTAAAATAATGGTATGTTTTTTATTTTATTAATTTTTACTTTCATCTTTGTTATTCCTTCCTTCTACTTTCTTTGGGCTTATTCTTTTGTTGTTTCTCTACCATAGGCAGACTTATTTATAGCTCCTTTTTAGTAAGAATGTATCTTTGGGGAGGAAGTCATAGCTTTATACTAGGAGTCTTCTGTCTGATGGGCTTCCAGAGGCCATGACAATCAAAGCCTAAATTTCATCTAGTTTGGCAACTGCCCTCAATGAGGGAACCCGACTTTAATGATCCACTCACCAATGTGGTTTGCCATTTTTACTTGGTTTTGGGCCTCTGAGTATTTTTTACTAACTTGCCAACTCAATGGTCAATTTCAAACGACCTAAAAAAAAAATTTTCAGGGCTGGGTGAGCAGGCTCACGCCTGTAATCCCAGCATTTTCGTAGGCTGAGGTGGGCAGATCACAAAGACAAGAGATTGAGACCATCCTGGCCAACATGTTGAAACTTCGTCTCTACTAAAAATACAAAAATGAGCTGGGTGTGGTGGCAGGCGCCTGTAATCCCAGCTACTTGGGAGGCTGAGGCAGGAGAATCGCTTGAACCTGGGAGGCGGAGGTTGCAGTGGGCTGAGATTGTGCCACTGCACTCCGGCCTGGCAACAGAGCAAGACTCCGCTTTAAAAAAAAAAAAAATTTAAGCAACATTTTTAGTATTCATCCTGACAGGTTACACCTTCTACCATACTGCTAGAAATGGAAAAGACATGTCTTAATCATTTCTGTATCCCAGCATTTGATAGTGCCTAGCCCAGAAGAGATCCTCTGTGCCTATCTGTTGAAATGATCACAAACTCAAGATCTAGGAGGAAGATGAGTTTTATATGGCTTGTACTAGGCCCCCCAATAAATGGATTTAGGTGATTTTAGGCATGGAATATACTCCTTTGGTGTCCACTTCTCTGTTTTCTTACACTCAGTCATACCACAGCCTCCAAAGGCATTTGAATTTGAAGCCTTGGTCTATTAAACTATTAAACTGTAGGAGATGAGTAGAAGACACTACAAGGACTATTTGAAAAGGAATTCACATAAGCTTACCTGCTGGTGATTGGGAAAATGTTCCATGGCTTTGAGTAGCAAATGGGTCACATCAGCCAGGAGTCGGACAGGCATTCCTGCAGCAAGATCCTGCTTGGTTAAGTTAAATACACAGGCGCTTGCAGCCAGTTGCACTGGCAAATTCATAGGGTGGTTTCTCATCCCAGTAACCACAAGCTGGAAAAAAAAAAAAGAGTCCTCTTAATTCACCTTATAAATACAAGCCCTCTTCACAGAGCAGCATTATTTTGTTGGTCTGTAGTAACTTTAAAGATGTCGTAAGTTTCTTTTACATCCTCATGTGCAAACAGCCTAGGATATAGCAAGTTACTCACAAATAGTTCCAGTCTACCTCATCAAGGCAGGTATTCAGCTATTCATATCTAGAGGTTTTCTGTAAAGCTAATAAATCTTTTCAACACAGGTCACTCATCTTTGTATTTCTTTTCTTTTTTTTTTTTTTTGAGACAGAGTCTCGCTCTGTCGCCCAGGCTGGAGTGCAGCGGCCGGATCTCAGCTCACTGCAAGCTCCGCCTCCCGGGTTCACGCCATTCTCCTGCCTCAGCCTCCCGAGTAGCTGGGACTACAGGCACCCGCCACCTCGCCCGGCTAGCTTTTTGTATTTTTTTTAGTAGAGATGGGGTTTCACCGTGTTAGCCAGGATGGTCTCGATTTCCTGACCTCGTGATCCACCCGTCTCGGCCTCCCAAAGTGCTGGGATTACAGGCTTAAGCCACTGCGCCCGGCCTGTATTTCTAAGACCTACTTATGGTGCCTGTTACATGGAAGGCAGTGAATAAATTCTCACTGACTTGAATAGAGCATAACTTCATTCTCAAATCTCAATCTTCAGTTCCTTGAGAACACTGCTGAGGTTAGAGTGCAATAAAATCCATTCACTTCCCCTGGCCTAGACAACTATTTCTCACTTTTTCCTCTGACCTCAAACCCCCAACGAATTCTTCCCATTCTTCACTATCAGCTGAAGATCTTGCTTTCAACTACACTAAGAAAACTGCCAGCCTGGGCAACACAGTGAAACCCCATCTGTATAAAACAGTGCAAAAATTCGCTGGGTGCCAGGAGCGGTGGCTCACACCTGTAATCCCAGGACTTTGGGAGGTCAAGGTGGGTGGATCACGAGGTCAGGAGATCGAGACCATCCTGCCTAACATGGTGAAACCCTGTCTCTACTAAAAATACAAAAAATTAGCCGGGTGTGGTGGCAGGCACCTGTAGTCCCAGCTACTTGGGAGGCTGAGGCAGGAGAATGGCGTGAACCTGGGAGGCAGAGCTTGCAGTGAGCCGAGATTGCACCACTGCACTAGAGCCTGGGCGACAGAGTGAGACTCCATCTCAAAAAAGAAAAAAAAAGAAAGAAAGAAAGAAAAAACAAACACAGAAATTAGCTGGGCATGGTGGCGCATGCCTGTAATCCCAGCTACTTGGGTGGCTGAAGCAGGACAACTGCTTTAACCCAGGAGGCAGAGGTTGCAGTGAGCCAAGAGCACACCATTGCACTCAAGCCTGGGTGACAAAGGCAAAACTCCATCCCTCTCTCTCTCTCTCTCTCTATATATATACACACACACACACACACACACACACACGCGCGCGCGCGTATATACACACACACACACACATATATATGAAGCTGGGCATGGTAGTGCATGCCTATAGTCCCATCTACTTGAGAGGTGAGGTGGGAGGATCGCCTGAGCCCTGGGAGGCAGAGCCTGTAGTGAGTCATGGTTGTACCACTGCGCTTCAGCTTGGGGGACAGAGTGAGACCCTGCCTCTAAGGAAAAGAGAAAAAAAAAAAAAGAAAAGAAAACTGAAGCAACCAGAAAAGAATTTCAGATTCTCATTACCACATGTATCCTACTTACCAGCATACGTATATATACATCACCTTCCTGCCTGCTACCATAAGGAATCTTTTGGGGTCCTTTGTAAAACAAATCCCTCCATGTATATGTTAGATCATTATTTTCTTGTCTACTGAAGGGAAGCTGTTCACCCCTCCTACTCCTATATCAATTTTTTATTCTGTACTGGATCATTCATATCAGGATATAAACAAGATACATTTTTCCTGTTAAAAAAAATCAAAACATTCCTCTTTTAATCTCACTTACTCAAACAATTACCATCTTTTTTCTTTGATCTCCTTTGCAGCAAAATTCCCTATAAGAATTGCCTTGGCCAGGCATGGTGGCTCATGCCTGTAATCCCAGCACTTTTGGGAGGCCGAGGCAGGTGGATCACTTGAGATCAGGAGTTCGAGACCAGCCTGGTCAACATGGTGAAACCTCGTCTCTACTAAAAATACAAAAATTAGCCGGGCGTGGTGGCGGGTGCCTATAATCCCAGCTACTCGGGAGGCTGAGGCAGAAGAATCGCTTGAACATGGGAGGCGGAGGTTGCAGTGAGCTGAGATAGTGCCACTGCACTCCATCCTGGGCAATAGAGTGAGACTCAGTCTCAAAAAAAAAAAAAAAGGAATTGCCTAGGCTAGGTGTAGTGGCTCATGCCTGTAATTACAGAACTCTGGGAGCTCAAGGCAGGAGGATCACTTGAGGTCAGGAATTCGAGACTAGCCTGGGCAACACAGCAAGAACCTCTCTCTACAAAAAATTTTTAAAAATTAGCTTGTGCAACATAGTGTGACCCTGTCTCTACAAAATTAGCCAGGTGTGGTTGCATGGGCCTGTAGTCCTAGCTACTCGGGAGGCTTAGGCAGGAGGATTGCTGGAGCCTAATAAATAAATAAATTTATTTATTTTTTAAAATTTTAAAAATTAGCCAGGTGTGATGGCACACACCTATAGTCCCAGACGTTTAGGAGGTTGAGGCAGAAGATTGCTTGAGCTCAAGAGTTTGAGGTTGCAGTGAGCTGTGATCCTGCACCACTGCACTCCAGCCTGGGCAATACAGCTAGATCCTCTATCTTTAAAAAAATAAAATAAAAGTGGCTCACTCCTATAATCCCAACACTCTGGGAGGCCAAGGCGGGAGAATCACTTGAGCTCAGGAATTTGAGACCAGCCTGGGCAACATAGTGGGTCTCCATCACTACAAAAAAAAATAATAATAATAATAACAAATTTTAAAATTCAGCCAGGCATGGTGTTATACGCTTGTAGTTCCAGCCACTCTGGAGGCTGAGGCAGGGGGATCATTTGAGCCCAGGAGGGAGGTCAAGGCTGCAGTGAACCATGATCATGCCACTGCACTCCAGCATGGGTGACAGAGTAAGATGCTACCTCAATAAATAAATAAATAGCCTATATTCTTTCATTTATCTCCGAATCATTCTCTGAATGTCTGAATGAATATTTCAGATCAAGACTAGAGATCTAGTCCTTTGTTGCTCAGTTCACAGTAATCAAAACCAAAAAAAAAGACAATTCATATACGAAGTGCCAACATCCTCTGATATATATAAAAGGAGTGACAGGTGTTGGTGATAATATCCTAAGGACTAAAATGTTACTGGTTCCTACCCAAGCACCTCATTCTCAGAATTTAAGGTATGTAGGATGTGAAGTTGTGGCTCTGCCACTGACTTATTATTACTTAATGTCACAGAACCTCAATTTCATAATCTGTAAAACAGAAGATAAAACCCATCTCTTGGAATTGTGCCCACTAAACAAGGTGCCAAATATAATATAGTCCTATGCTCATTGGTTTTCAAAACTGAATGTGCATAAGAATTACCTTGGAATTATCTTGGGGGCTTATTAAAATGCAGATTCCTGTGCCTCATCTAGCTCTACTGAATCTAAATTTTGGGGGGTGGGGTTTATAAATATCTTTTTTTTTTTTTTTCAGACAAGGTTTCACTCCTGTCACCCAGGTTGGAGTGTGGTAGCATGATCTCGGCTCGCTGCAACCTCTGCCTCCCAGGCTCGAGCAACTCTCCCGCCTCAGTGTCCCACGTAGCTGGCACTACAGGTGTGTGCCACCACACCTGGCTAATTTTTGTAGAGATAGGGTTTTGCCATGTTGCCCAGGCTGGGCCTTGAACTCCTGAGCTCAAGTGATCTGCCTGCGTTGGTTTCCCAAAGTACTGGGATTACAAGGGTGAGCCACCACGCCTGGTCACAAATATGCTTTTTAAATAAGCAATATCCTAGACTTGTAGTGGTCAAAGGACCACTTTTTTTTTTTTTTTTTTTTGAGAGAGTCTTGCTCTGTTGCTCAGGCTGGAGTGCAGTGGCATGATCTCGGCTCACCGTAACCTCGGCCTCCCAGGTTCCTCATGCCTCAGTCTCCTGAGTAGCTGGGATTACTGGCGTGCACTACCACACTCGGCTAATTTTTTGTATTTTTAGTAGAGATGGGGTTTTGCCATGTTGGTCAGGCTGGTCTAGAACTCCTGGCCCCAGGTGACCTGCCTGCCTCAGCTTCCCAAAGTTATTATAGGTGTGAGCCACTGTGTCCTGGACCAAAGGACCACATTTTGATAAATGTTGCCCTAAGCATTCAATAAAATTAAGAAATCTCCTTTCTTGCCCTTCAAAAGCTGTCTTGGTTAAAATAGCTGGGTGCTGTGAGGTACACCTGTAGTCCTAGCTACTTGGGAGGCTGAGACAGGACTGCCTGAGCTCAGGAGTTTGAGGTCTGTGAACAGCCATTGCATTCTTGCCTGGGGAACACAGTAAGACCCTATGACTTAAAAAAAAAAATTTTTTTAAACTTAATTGGGGAGTAATGCAAATCAGTTAAGAATGCACAGTAGGTTCTAAACAGCATGGAAAAGTGCCTTGTGGAATTCCGATATCTGCTTGCTTTATTTCTCTTTCTTTTTTTGTATTTTTTAATACTTTTTGTAGAAATGGGGTTTTGCCATGTTGCTCAGGCTGGTCTCGAACTCTAGGGCTCAAGTTACCCATCTGTCTCAGCCTCCTGAAGTGCTGGGATTACAGGCATCAACTACCACACCTGGCCCAATATTGTATTTCTAAAAAAATCTATTTGGGAAACAACATATGGTTAATATACAAAACAGTGTCCTGATCCCAGTCATATACTTTCATTTTCTACAGTAGCTGGTGACAAAATATCATGGTGGTCACTGGTTTTAGGTAGATAAATATGTACAAGACATTTATATGCTTAATGAGACTACTATAAAACTTCAATAACATTGTACAACTATTTTCTCTCTCGTTTGTGGCTAATAATTGAAATCACACGTCATCAATCATATTATAAATAATAAAAAAAGACTAAATGCAAATTTTCTTTTTTTTTTTTTTTTTTTTTGAGACGGAGTCTTGCTCTGTCGCCCAGGCTGGAGTGCAGTGGCCGGATCTCAGCTCACTGCAAGCTCCACCTCCCGGGTTTACGCCATTCTCCTGCCTCAGCCTTCCAAGTAGCTGGGACTACAGGCGCCCGCCACCTCGCCTGGCTAGTTTTTTTTTTTTTGTATTTTTCAGTAGAGACAGAGTTTCACTGTGTTAGCCAGGATGGTCTCGATCTCCTGACCTCGTGATCCGCCCGTCTCGGCCTCCCAAAGTGCTGGGATTACAGGCTTGAGCCACCGTGCCTGGCCCTAAATGCAAATTTTCACCAATTTTCTTCAAAAAATCATCTGCCCAGGGAAATCGTTTCAAAAATTTCATATCCAGTTTCTTAGTCTTACCTTTAAAATTTCTGGCTTTGTTTTTTCCATCACATGAGTCAGACTAAAAAGATGAAATAGAGCTTCCCGAACAAAGAATGCCCGTTCACTGTAACGCTTCAGTGCTTCTGCAATCTGAGTTTCATTGGCTTCTCCAGACACCTGTGAACATAACCAGATTAGCTTTTAGAATTCTCTCTCTTTCTCTATCTAAATATCATTTGTGGCCAGGTGTGGTGGCTCATGCCTGTAATCCCAGTACTTTGGGAGGCCAAGGTGGGTGGATCATGTGAAGTCAGGAGTTCGAAACCACCCTAGCCAACATGGTGAAACCCCATCTCTACTAAAAATAAAAAAGTTAGCCAAGCGTGGTGGCGCACGCCTGTAATCGCAGCTACTCAGGAGGCTGAGGCAGAAGAATTACTTGAACCGAGAAGGCGGAGGTTACAGTGAGCTGAGATCGTACCACTGCACTCCAGCCTGGGCAACACAGCAAGACTCTGTCTCTAAATAAATAAATAAATATAATTTGTATACATGGCATCTAAGATAGTTATGTAAAGCTGGAATCAAATAAAAATGATTATACTTTCCAATCTATCCAGATTAGTCATCTTAAAAAGGTGTATTTGTCTTGAAGAGATGTATATTAGATAAACTCAGAACCTAGCATAAGACAATGGGTGAAATTTTCTGTATTATACCTAAAATAAATCCCAAGATATTTAACACTATTTATAAGGCCCTACCACTTGATGAGGATCCTATCTGCCTCTTACTCCTCTCCCCCTAGCTCACAATGTTTTAGCTATATACCCCTTTTTTCCTCATCTTTCCGTAAGTCAAGCTTTTTCTCAGTAAAACACCACTCATACAATGTCCTCTCTGACTGAAAACTTCCTTTCTCTCTTTGCCTGACTAATTTCTACTCATTCTTCCTTATTCAAGTTAAGGACACTTTCTTAGAGAAGTCTTTTTGAGCCACTGATTTAAATTAGGTCCCCTGAAACATCTCTTTCATAGCTATCATAATCCCCCACTGGATTGATCTATTCACCATTGTACCCCAATAGCTAGCATTATGCTTGGCTCAGAATACGTACTCCATAAGTATTCATCAAATAAATGTATCCATTAATTTCTCCAGATTTATCATGCTCCTTTTCAGCACCAAGAGGTTCTGTTTAAACTTAAGTCTTTCTAGGGATTCCTAACATAAAAGTATATTATTTTATTTTATTTTTATTTTTTTGAGATGGAGTCTTGCTGTGTTGCTCAGGCTGCAGTGCAATGGCTCGATCTCAGCTCACTGCAAGCTCTGCCTCCCAGGTTCACACCATTCTCCCGCCTCAGCCTCCTGAATAGCTGGGACTACAGGCGCCCGCCACCACGCCCGGCTAACTTTTTATATTTTTAGTAGAGACAGGGGGTTTCACCGTGTTGGCCAGGATGGTCTCGATCTCCTGAACTCATGATCCACCTGCCTCAGCCTCCCAAAGTGCTGGGATTACAGGTGTGAGCCGCCACGCCCGGCCCAAAAGTATATTATTTTAAGATAATATACTTATCTTAAAATGTGGTTCATGTGCCACCGGGCAACCAAATATAGGTAACAGAAAGTGGCTCTTTATAAAAGTAATCCAACTAGTAAGAGAAAAATAAATGATTAAAATATCACCATAATTCTGAGTGAATTGATAGATCTAGCTACTAAGTGTCAATAACTGCTAACATCACAGAAAGACAAACTACTAGATATTTATGTACCTCATAATGTAAGAATACAACACCTAAGGGTCTGGCCAAAGGGATAAAACGTTAAGTCTAATTAAGCCTCCAAATCCAGCTACCAATTTGCAGAAAATAAGAGAAAGATGCACCATTAGTATACAATCAGCAAAATCCAGGCTGGCAGAGTGGCTTATATCTGTAATCCCAGCATTTTCGGAGGCTGAGGCAGGACGATCACTTTAAGCCCAGGAGTTCCAGACCAGCCTGGGCAACAAAGCAAGACCCTGTCTCTACAAAACAGCAACAAATACAATAAAATCCAGACTTAGGGAAACTCTACAAATCATAACGATAGATTCTTCAATAAACAAATTATAAGGAAAAGAAAGGGATGGAGGAGGAACCTATAAACTAAAAGATACTCAAAAGACATCAAATTGTTTTAAATGGGCAAGATTATCCAGGTGCCTAAATAGTTGGGTCATAAAATTATGAAGAAATGAAAGGACATGGCCAGGTGTAGTGGCTCATACCTGTAATCCCACCACTTTGGGAGGCCGAAGTGAGCTTTGGGGTAGCTGACGAAGTTCTGTTACTTAACCTGAGTGATGGTTTCAAGTGTGTCCACTTTTATTTCAACTTAAGCTACATAATTATTTATCGTCTTTGTCTCTGTTTTATTTTACAATAAAGTTTTAAAAAATGCCAAAAAATGTCATTCAGAGAGACTATCTCATAATAAGGGGAAGATTTAGTCTTTTTTGGCAGTAACATTATACAGTGTGACACAAAAGTAATCAAATATTTTAAAAATATATTACTCAGTAACAAAGTTTTATATAAACATAATATTCAGCCAGGCAAGATGGCTCATGCCTGTAATCCCAGCACTTTGGGAGGTAGAGGCAGGAGGATCACTTGAGCCCAGGAGTTCAAAACCAGCCTGGGGAACATAGTAATACCCTGTCTCTATAAAAGAAAATAAAAATCAGTTGCATGTGACGGTGCATGCCTGTAATCCCAGCTACTTGGGAGACTGAAGTGGATTGCTTGAGCCCAGGAATTTGAGGCTGCAGTAAGCCATGACTGTGCCACAGCACTCCATGATGGGCAACAGAGTGAGACTCTTGATTATCAAAAAACAAAAAAGCCTATAATACTCACATTGGAATATGCAGCTTTGAGGAAATGAAGGGATGTATCATGGCTGACATTTCAACCATTAATAGGATATGCTACAAGAGTCTGAAGTGAATTAGACTACAGTATTGATATGTGTCACATGACACAAGGGCACATATTAAGAATTTCTAAGATTGTTGAAATAATAATAAAAGTTTCTTTACTTCCATTACTTTATGTCTTTTCTTTTTTTTTTCCTTTTTTTTTTTTTTTGAGACGGAGTCATCGCCCTGTCGCCAGGCCGGAGAGCAGTGGCGCAATCCCGCTCACTGCAAGCTCCCACCTCCCGGATTCCACGCCATTCTCCTGCCTCAGCCTCCTAAGTAGCTGGACTGCAGGCGCCCGCCACTACGCCCGCTAATTTTTTTGCGATTGTTTAGTAGAGACGGGTTTCACGCGTGTCAAGCCAAGGATGGTTCGATCTCTCCTTCCTCGTGATCCGCCCGCCTCGGACTCCACCAAAGTCTGGGATTACCAGGCTGAGCCACCGCCAGTTTTTTTTTTTCCTTTTTTTTGAGACACGGTCTCGCTCTGTCGCCCAGACTGGAGTGCAGCGGCAGGATCTCAGCTCACTGCAACCTCTACTTCCCGGGTTCAGGCAACTGTCATGCCTCAGCCTCCCGAGTAACTGGGATTACAGGCACCTGCCACCACGTCCGGCTAATTTTTGTACTTTTAGTAGAGACGGGATTTCGCCACGTTGGCCAGGCTGCTCTCAAACTCCTGACCTCAAGTGATCAGCTGACCTTGGCCTCCTGAAGTTCTGGGATTACAGGCATGAGCCACCACGCCCGGCCTCCATTACTTTACTTCCTTAAATGCTTTTTAAACTTTCTATTCATGTATAACATATTTACACAAACTGGTTTGGACTACATATTCACATATACAAATGGGTATTTAATAAAATTTTTCAAAGTGTTCAGTTCATTGAATCACCCAGAACTTTTTCTTATAAATTCAGAAAAAAACACTGAAATGTGAAATGAGAAAAAACTGTAAGAGGGAAATATAAAATAATCTAAATCAGACTTTATTCTTCCTTTACCCACATTTGGTTGGTTCCAACAACTTTATAAATCTCTTAAGTGAAATATATTCTCAAGTTACCTTGAATATAAAATTAAAGAACTTTTGTTACTGGAAGAATGTTAAACACTCTAAGTCAGTTGCTTTTTTTTGAGAACGTGTCGTTGTCGTCAGGGTGGAGTGCGTGGCACATCTCGGTCACTGAACCTCCCTTCCGCCCGTTCAAATGATTTCCCTGCCTCAGCCTCTAAGTAGCTGGGACAACAGGCGTCTGCACCGACGCCTGGCTAAAATTTTTTTGTATTTTTAGTAGAGGCGGGGTTTTCACCATGTTGGCTAAGGCTCTTCCAACCTCTTGGCCTCCAAGTGATCCGCCCTTGTCAAAGTTGCTGGGATTATAGGCGTGCTTGAGCCAATTTTATGACAATATATATATGTATGTTGTTGTTTTTTTTTTTTTTTAGACACGAGTTTGCCCTTGTTGTCGCGGAAATCCAATGGCACGATCTCAGCTCACTACAACCTCCACCTCCCAGGTTCAAGAGATTCTCTTGCCTCAGCCTCCCAAGTAGCTGGGATTACAGGCATGCACCACCACGCCCAGCTAATTTTTTTTGGATTTTTAGTAGAGACTGGGTTACTCCATGTTGGTCAGGCTGGTCTCCAACTCCCAATCTCAGGTGCTCCGCCTGCCTTGGCTTCCCAAAGTGCTGGGGTTACAGGTGTCAGATGGGGTCTCACTATGTTGCTCAGGCTGGTCTCAAACTCCTGAGCTCAAGCAATCCTCCCACCTCGGCCTCTCAAAGTGCTGGGATTAAAGGCATGAGCCACTACGCCTGGCCAAAAAATAATTATGTACCTTCACTGCATGTTGATTACTGCAGTTTTTCAATACAGCAGTCTGACTTCAAGGGAGAGATCTAAGTTAAGACACAAATTTAGGAGTCATTGCATATAGATTTAAGGACTGAGGTACAGAACACTCCAACAGTCAGAGGCCTGGAAGATGAGGAAGAACCAACAAAGGAAATTGAGGCTCAGTAGCAAGACAAGTAGGAAAAAAAAAACAAGCAAGTATGATACCCAGGAAGCTAAGTTTTTTTTTTTGTTTTTTTTTTTTTTAAAGATATCTCAGGGAAGAACGAAAGATCAACTGTGTCAAATACCATTTTACTTTGGGTCAAATACAATGAAGACTAAGAACTAACATTGGGTTTAGCAGATTTTTGATGTTCTCATGAGTTGGGAGCCACAGCTTGGGAGATAATCCAAGTGGATTAGGTGGCCAACAAATATAAGAATTCTAGTTGTGGAGAAATGGAAGGTTCAGGAAACTGATGGTGACAGATGAGAAAACTGAGTAGGGAAATAGTGAGAAGAGAAAATCGAGTGCAGAAATACTGATGACAGAGCTGGAAATTCTATGGTAAGAAAGCCAGGCTAGGCTCAGGGGCTTACACCTGTAATCCCAAAAGTGGGAGGCCAAGGTGGGAGGATCACTGAGCGAGAACCCATCTTTACAAAAACACTTAAAAAAAAAAAAAAAGGCCAGGCGTGGTGGCTCATGCCTGTAATCCCAGCACTTTGGGAGGCCAAAGCAGGCAGATCACCTAGGTCAGAAGTTCAAGACCAGCCCAGCTAACATGGTGAAACCCCATCTCTACCAAAAATACAAAAATCAGCTGCACATGGTAGCAGGCACCTGTAATCCCAGCCACTCAGGAGGCTGAGGCAGGAAATTCGCTGAAACCCAGGAGGTGGAGGTTGCTGTGAGCTGAGATCGCGCCACTGCACTCCAGCCTGGGTGACTGAGCAAGACTCCATGTCAAAAAAAAAAAAAAAAAAAAAATAAGCCAGTTATGGGTGGCACTGTTTGTCCAGCTTATCAGGGGCTAAGCCAGGAAGGATCACTCAAGCCCAGGAGGTAGGGCTGCATGAGGCTTGTTCAGTGCCCATGTACTCAGCCTGGGGTAACAGGGCGAGGACCCTGCCTCTGGAAAAAAAAAAGTTATTTTAAAACAGTGATTCAGAGTTTGGCTGGACACTGCAGTCATCTTGGAGCTTTAAAAATAGTGATGCCTGTGTCTCACCTCTCTTCTAATACAGTTTTTGCCACATATTATTCTGTCTGCTGGGATACTGTCTACTGAGCTACTCACCCTTAAGATCTCCACTCATTCATCAATTTCTCAGAGAAACCAGCCGGGAGTGGTGGCTCATGCCTATAACCTAGCAACTTTGTAAGGCCAAAGCAGGTGAACTGCCTGAGCTCAGGAGTTCGAGACTAGCGCCTTGCCAACATGGGTGAAACCCTGTCTTCCAAATACAAAACTTAGCCGGGTATGGCAGTGTGTGCCTGTAGTCCAGGCTACTTGGGAGGCTGAGGCAGGAGAATCACTTGAAACTGGAGGGCGGAGGTTGCAGTGAGCCAAGATGCCAGTTACACTCCAGCTGGGTGCAGAGCAAGATTCGCATCTCCCAAAAAAAAAAAAAAAAAAAGTATTTATGGTTTAAAGCATATATCTATAAAAGTATATAAGTAAATAGGTATAAATATAAAAATGTATTTGTAATAATATAATCACCACTCCCATTAGGTTAAGCTACTTGGAGGCAGATCCTGTATCATTTTCTTTTCCTTTTTTTTTTTTTTGAGATGGAGTCTCACTCTATCACCCAGGCTTGAGTGCAGTGGCACAATCTTGGCTCTCTGCAACTTCCGCCTCCTGGGTTCAAGAGATTCTCCTGCCTCAGGCTCCCGTGTAGCTGGGAATATAGGCACATGCCACCATGCCTGGCTAATTTTTGCATTTTTAGTAGAGACGGGGTTTCACCATGTTGGCCAAGCTGGTATTGAACTCTTGACCTCAAGTGACCTGCCCACCTCTGCCTCCCAAAGTGTTGGGATTACAGGTGTGAGCCACCACACCCAGCCTCATTTTCACTTTTGAATCCCAAGCTCTATCAAATCCAACTGATGTTTGTTAAACTAAATTTAAACCATTAGGCATGAGAAATCTTAGGAAAAGCAAAATTCTACCATTTCTACAGTAGAGATCTCCTTAGAATACTTGATCTCCCACTAGGTATTCAATTCAACAAGGGGTGTCCCCAGTTTCTCCGAAGTTATCCATTAAAAACAGTATATGTAGCTGGGCGCAGTGACTCACGCCTGTAATCCCAGCACTTTGGGAGGCCAAGGCGGGCAGATCACAAGGTCAGGAGATCAAGACCATCCTGGCTAACACAGTGAAACCCTGTCTCTACTAAAAATACAAAAAATTAGCCGGGTGTGGTGGCAGGCACCTGTAGTCCCAGCTACTCGGGGGGCTGAGGCAGGAGAATGGTGTGAACCCAGGAGGCAGAGCTTGCAGTGAGCTGAGATGGCACCACTGCACTCCAGCCTCAGCGACAGAGTGAGACTCTGTCTCAAAAGACAAAAAAACAAAAAAAACAGTGTATGTAAATGGTTCAAAATATCTAAACATTATCATCGTAAGACAACCTATTGTTTATCCAGGACCTACTATGTGACTTGCACTTTACATAGATTATCATTAATCTTCAGAATTCTGCAAGGTAAGAATACCATGTATTCTACAAATAAGGAAATAAAAACTCGAAGTGACATCATAGCTTGTCCTGGGTCATGAAGCTGAAATTTTAATTAGGACTCTAAAACCTTTCAACTATATGAGGCCCTGTTTCATGAACATGTTCCATATATTATAGACATTCATCTTTAATTACAGTCTTATGCAACTAAGATATTGGTCAGCCTGACAGAATAATATATTTTTAAAGTCTAACCTTCAAATGTCCTTCGCCTGTGAGGAATTCAGAGTAACCAGCATCAGTAGCCAGCAAACCTACAAACTGCATGCTTGGACGTTGTTGTATAAAGGCTTCAACAGCTTTATCTGTCACGTGCTTTCTCCCAGAAACATCCAGAGAAACAAGGTTGGGTAGGATGTCTTTTTGTTCCAGTAAGCGAAGAGCTATGTCTGATGTAAACTGTTTATCATCTGAGATATCAAGATGATTCAGATGTTTGAGTTCCCGAACTACATCCAGTATCTGGGTGGTTGTCATTTTTAAACATTTCAAGTGGTGCATGGTTAGAGACTTGAGTCGGTCTTTGCAGGCCAGTAGAGCAGTGATGTCTGTGATCGAGGTGTTAGAAATATCCAAGCTCTCTAATCTTGGCAACGAGGCAACTTCAGCCAGGTCTTCATTGTAAAAGAGAACATTGGTGATGCTTAAAGCTCGAAGGCCAGAAAGCCGGCTAAAGCACCGCTCGTAAGGATCCTCGAGGGAGAGAGTTAATGAATTCAGCACCAGGCACTGGAGATTCTGCTGGATCCATTTGTTACTGCCAAGTCCACTGATAATGTCTGTAATCGTGATATCAGCATTCACACCTGTGGCATCAAGTTCCACTAACTTGTGATGGCAGAAGGCTTTCCGGAAAGCAACAGCAGAAATCTTTGCTTTGCGAATGCAGGCTCGCTTTAAGCGCATCTGGTTGCCCCTAAAAATACCCACAGTTCCATCATTCAGTAGACCTGTGGAAAAACAAGCAGCACTTTAACTTCAAAAAACAGCTAAAGAATAGCTAAAATTTCCATCACGCTTTACATTTCCAAAGTGCTCCCATGTAACAGTATCTTGTCTGATAATCACAATTCATTTAGGTGAGAATATTATTGTTTACAACCTGTAGATGAGTAAACTGGGGCTCAGAGAGTGGCTTTCCAAGATCACAGGGCCAGCAAGTGGCAGAGTCAGGACTGTGGCAGACATTATTGATATCCACTAACATCTGGTTCTTACCTTACTAGACAGACAACTACATTTCCCAGCCCATCCCTGGAGTTAGCTAGAGCCATGTGCCTAGTTCTGGCCAATGGACTGTATGCTGAAGCACCTGAGAGCCAGTGCATGATTTTCCATGCTGTCTTTTCCTGCTATGACAAATGAGGAGCCTTCATGTTCTAGAGAGCATAGTTTTATGAGGAGGAACCCTCCATCAGTTTGGACCCTAGGGTAACCACGAAGCGGAATTCTCTATGGACTTGCAGAGTTATGTACCACAAGTGAGGTAGAAACCTTGTGTTAAGGTATTTGATTTGTTACCAATACATTTCTAGCCTATCCTTTAAATTCCCTTAACATATTATTATACAAACAAATATATATATACATATAATATATTTAGCATGCACTTAATGCCTTGTAATTCATTAATAAACCACTAGCCAGATCTCAAACCTTATTAAAGTGATCTAGGCCTGGGAAACATAGCGAGACCCCATCTCTACAAAATAACTGAAAACGAGTTGGGCATAGTGGTGCATGCCTATAGTCCCAGCTACTAGGGAGGCTGAGATGGAAGGATCACTTGAGCCCAGGAGTTCGTGGTTATAGTGAGTACTGCACTCCAGTACTGGGTGACAGAGTGAGACCCTGTCTCTTAAAAAAAAAAAAAAAAAAAACAACTAGTAGTTATAGCCCCTCCCTGGCAGATGAATGTAAATGAAGTCGACCCAGTAACCTCCTCGAAGTGCTTTCGAGATATACCTGTCTACCACAGTGTCACAAGCATATGATACTTTGGAGCCACATCAATAATATCACATATAAACTAAACAACACTGACTGTGAAAGAAGTAACAATCATGCCAAAAAGAGGTAGTCTGAGAACAGTCTGGGGTGAATGAGCAATTGAGGACAGGTAAATAAATAGCCTGAAGTCAAGAGAGGAACTCTAAGGTGGCACCTTAGCTGGCCCATACTCAAAATGTAGCTAGGCTGCCAGCCAGTCATCCTTAAATTAGAACTGAGGTATGTTTAAAAGGGAGCACTACTCTCTAATGAATTTTGCAGACTTAATTACAGTTACACAGTTAAAATCAAGAAAGGCCTTTGCAAAACTTGCCCAAGTGGACAAAAATGACTAATTACATATTAAGAACTCCATTATATTTTAGAGCTGCGCTGTCCAATACATAGTCACTAGCTACATACAGCTGGAGAGCACTTGAAAAGCAGGTGGTACAATGTGAGGTCAGCTACAAGTATAAAATATACACCAGATTGTGAAGATTTAATACAACAAAATAATGTAAAGTATCTCAATTTTTTTTTTTTTTTTTTTTTTGAGGCGGAGTCTCGCTCTGTCGCCCGGGCTGGAGTGCAGTGGCCGGATCTCAGCTCACTGCAAGCTCCGCCTCCTGGGTTCACGCCATTCTCCGGCCTCAGCCTCCCGGAGGCTGGGACTACAGGCGCCCGCCACCTCGCCCGGCTAGTTTTTTGTATTTTTTAGTAGAGACGGGGTTTCACCGTGTTAGCCAGGATGGTCTCGATCCCGTCTCGGCCTCCCAAAGTGCTGGGATTACAGGCTTGAGCCACCGCGCCCGGCCAGTATCTCAATTTTTTATATTGACTACAGGTTGAAATGATCATTTTTTAATATATTGGGTTAAATAAAAATAACTAAAACTAGTTTCACTTGTTTCTTTTTATTTTTGTTTTTGTATGTGGCCACTGGTAAATTTAAAATTACATTTCTATTAAACACTGTGGTTCTAGAGACAGCCCTTCAAAGTACCTGAACTCTATTTTAGGGGAGTAAATTTCATGGTGGAGTCCATTCAGCAAATAGTTTATTAAACAATTACTATATGTCAAATATCCTAAATGTTGTAGATACAGAGAAAAATAAGATATGCCCCTATAATCAAAGGATTCATAATCCCATGGAGTAAAAAAGACACAAACAGCCATGACAAAATGAGATATTTGGTATACCAATGTCAAGTATAAGTACCACAAAAACAAAGAAAAGGAAGTAAACCACCACGAATGGAGATCTGGAAAAGATTTGATGGGAGAGATGATCTTTGAGTAAGGCCTTTGAAGATGCTGGAAGAATTCAAAGATAGAGAAAGAAGGTTAGGAGGCCAGGTGCAGTGGCTCATGCCTGTAATCCCAGCATTTTAGGAGGCCGATGCGGATGGATCACATGAGGTCAGGAATTCGAGACCAGTCTAGCCAACATGACAAAACTTCATTTCTACTAAAAATGCAAAAATTAAACAGTTGTGGTGGTGCACGCCTGTAATACCAGCTACTTGGGAGGCTGAGGCAGAGAATCACTATGAACTTGGGAGGTGGAGGCTGCAGTGAGCCGAGATTGTGCCACTGCACTCCAGCCTGGGCGACAGAGTGAGACTCCATCTCAAAAAAAAAAAGAGAGAGAAAGAAGGTTAAGTATATTAAAAAAAGAATATACAACATAAGCAAAGTCTTAAAGATGTGAAAGCATATCACAGGGTTAGGAAATGGCAAGTAGTTCTTTCTATATTGCTTGAACATAAACAACTAGAGCCATAAGATGCGGTGCATTTCTGGGGATATAAGCATGCAAATGGGAGAGAAGAAATGAGGCTGAAGGTGAGCTGGAGCTTGATCACTCTGAAGGGTGAAGAGATGAAAGCAGATCAGCTAGGGACCTTGGGACCCATGGAACGACGCAGTAAAGTTCCTGGGTTTTTTCTGGTCATATATCCCAGATCTAAAGTTGAAGGAGCCAGCAGCCTGGAAACATCAGTGGGCACAGACAAAAAAGCTCCCCCAAAATCTACTCACTCTAGCCAATGTACCAGGAAAGGAGCAACTAGTAAGACAGCAAACAGCTAGTAGATAGTAACTGCTCTACCTCAGCCAAACATGACAGAAAAAACTGCGGCCCCACCCATGCCAGCAAATGCCAATAGGGGCCTAGATTTCTACCCCTGCCAGGCTATAATTACTTCCCCCAATCTGCCCACAGGGGAGGTGTTAGAGAAGTCTGAGTAGAGACCAAGGATTTTTATTCCTGCTGGGTGGTAAGAACTATCCCCCACCATGATGTCAGTAGATACCATATGTGACGCAAGCAGTGATGAAGTTCTCTATAGGAAGTCTAGTGGAAAGTCAGGACTGCCACAACTGCCCAACATTAATGAGGCCACCTCCTCCCAACACGGTGTCAGTAGAGGCCAACTGGGAAGCAGAAATGACATACCCATACGCCTTTCAGCTAGGGAAGTTATCAATAGAGTCCTAGTGGAGAGTCAGAATTCCAACCTCTGCATAGCCCTGCACCTTGGGTGTCAAGAGAAGCTAAGTGGGGAACCAGAAAGAACTTTTTTTTTTTTTTTTTTTGAGACGGAGTCTTGCCCTGTGACCCAGGCTGGAGTGCAATGGCACTGATCTTGGCTCACTGCAACCTCCGCCCCCTGAGTTCAGACGATTCTCCTGCCTCAGCCTCCTGAGTAGCTGGGATTACAGGCACCCACAACCACACCCAGCTAATTTTTTGTATTTTTAGTAGACACTGGATTTCACCATGTTGGCCAGGATGGTCTCAATCTCCTGACCTTGTGATCCACCCCCCGCTTGGCCTCCCAAAGTGCTGGGATTACAGGCATGAGCCACCATGCCCGGCCCAGAAAGAACATTAACCCTAATCTGGCTGGGCATGGTAGTTCATGCCTGTAATCCCAGCACTTTGGGAGGCTAAGGCGGGCAGATCACGAGGTCAGGAGATCGAGACCATCTCAGCCAACATAGTGAAACACCATCTCTACTAAAACACAAAAAATTAGCCAGGCCTGGTGGTGCGTGCCTTGTAATCCCAGCTACTTGGGAGGCTGAGGCAGGGAAATCACTTGATCCCAGGAGACGGAGGTTGCAGTGAGCTGAGATCGTGCTACTGCACTCCAGCCTGGCGACAGAGCAAGACTCCGTCTCAAACAAAAAATTAGCCAGGCATGGTGGTGCACACCTGTAATCTCAGCTACTATGGGGACTGAGGCAGGAGAATGGCATGAACCTGGAGGCGGAGGTTGCGATGAGCCCAGATTGCACCATTGCACTCCAGCCTGGGCAACAAGAGCAAAACTCCATCTCAAACATAACATAACGTAACATAACATAACATAAAATAAAATAACATAAACTAACAACAAAATATAAAATACAATAACATAAAATAACATACAATAACAACAAAATAACAAAATAAAATAACATAACACAACAAGAAAATAAAATAACAAAATAAAATAACATAAAATAACATACAACATAAAATAACAAAGTAAAATAAAATAAAAATAACATAAAATAAAATAACATAAAATAAATAAAATAATCTTTTTTTTTTTGAGATGGAGTCTAGCTCTGTCGCCCAAGCTGGAGTGCAGTGGCGGACCTCAGTCCACTGCAAGCTCCGCCTCCTGGGTTTACCCCATTCTCCTGCCTCAGCCTCCCGAGCAGCTGGGACTACAGGCACACACCACCACGCCCAGCTAATTTTTTGTATTTTTAGTAGAGACGGGATTTCGCCATGTTAGCCAGGATGGTCTCGATCTCCTGACCTCATGATCTGCCTGCCTCGGCCTCCCAAAGTGCTGAGATTACAGGCGTGAGCCACCATGCCAGGCCTACAATTTTTTTTTTGAGACGGAGTCTCGCTCTGTCGCCCAGGCTGAAGTGCAGTGGCGGGATCTTGGCTCAC